GGAAGGGGGAGAGAGGGAGAGGGGGAGAGAGAGAGAGATTGGGAGAGGGATTGTTGCAAGGGGCCTCCAGAATTTGTTTGGCTGAGCTCAGCCCATGATCTGAGCAGGAGAATAACAAAACCATCCTAAGCAGAAAAGGTATAATGGAAACATGGAACTGGGAGCAGAAGACCCAGATCCAGGCAGGTCCATCTCTCCCGCTCACTAGTGACCTTTACCTAGTAACTTCCATGAGCCTCAGTTCCCCTCTCTGGCTCTCCCTATCACGCAAGCTGTGCTCACAGCCTGAGGCTCAGGTAAGATCGGTTCGTGTTGCCAGGTAAGCCTGGAATGCTGGACCTGTGTGAGCGGATAAGCAGAGGGCAGCCTCTTAGGCTCCACTGACCGCAGGAGGGAAGATGTACAGACTCTCCTAAAAATGCTCTTAGTCTACCTGGTTCTGGAAATCAAAGAGGGGGAAGTGCATCCATTTTCAGGGCAGACAAAAGAAACAAGCTGGTCCAGATGACTCTGGAGGCTTCAGGTGTACACACTCTTGGCTGTGGTCTCGGGTCACTGGACTCCCTTTGTGTTATTTTAAGGTAATTTCAAACTGCTTTCTAATTGTTTTTAGGACTACTAGAAAGAAAACTCATCATGTGAGGTTCTTATTTTTTCTAAGCTATAAGTAATCACACAAAAATTTTAATGACGAGGCACCTAACGCATATATACATCAACGCCTTTTCTAAAAGGTGACTGTACACAGTCTAGGAATTCTGTGAGTCAGAGGACTGAATCCACAAGACATCAGGGCCTGGGCTTCTGGGTCTAGCTGCCCAAGTGTCTCCTGTCCAGGGGCAGAAATGAACCCTGTGCAATAGGAAGAGAGGCACAGAAAGGATTCCTCTGAATGTGGCCATCTTCGTCAGGGGCCCTGCACAGGAAGGGCACAAGGGGGCGCTCTCTCCCAAGCCCTGACAGCAGGTGTGTTGCCAGCACGCCCAGCTTTCTGCACACCTGGTGGTGTTCCACACAGTCAGCAGTGGGGAGCACCAGGTCTGGGGCCTGGTGAGCTAGAAGCCTGGGAACAGAGGGACACACACACCAGAAAGATGACAATAAATACATTTCAGGAAAAAAAAAAAAAAGCAAGCAGTTATCCCGCCCTCGTCCGCTGGTAATGTGCGCCCCTAGGCTTTTCATAAAAACTCTGCCATCAAACCAAAGCCATGCAGAGCCACATGGGGGTGGGGCTGCCACTCGAAAGCACACAAACGCAGAGAAGTGCTCACTTTCTCCCAGCTGCTTCTGCAGCATCTGCAGCTCCTGCTGAGCCTGGGCCAAGGAGCCGAGGAGGGGAGGGCCAGTGGAGCGGAAAGGCAGGAAGCTGGGTGGAGCTGAGAGCAGCGGTGCCTGGGGGAGGCTAACCAGTGTAGGTATGGAGGGAAAATGAAGGCCTAGAAACAGAAAGTTAGGGAGAAAGCAGAGACATCATTAGACAGAAAGGAATGAGTGAAAGATTGAGAAGGTGAAGCTGTTCCCTGACCAGGTGTCTCCTTGGTGAGTGGCTGCCTGGGATGCTAAGAGTGATCATGGCCAGGGCCAAGGGTGAGCACTGCTCCCCAAGAGGCTGGCCTGGCTGACTTTCCTCCCTTCCAGGGCTACCCTGCAGACATAGTTAGTCTATGCTCATCTTGGAAACAACTGCCTATAGAAGGCAACATGGCATTGCCACGAGCCAGGCAGCCACAGCCCCATCCCAGTAATCCAGGGCCCTGGCAGGCCAGGAGTGTGGTGTCTGAATGCTTTCCAGGCCCCCTGGGGAGGTGCTCCAGCAGCTGCCAGTCCTTCCCCTGTGACTAGGAACTCCTTTTTCTGAAAGCATTAGGGCTCATCTTGAGGAGTGCAGGAGTGGAGTAGGACTGTGGGGAAATTTGCATTATTAATGCATGTAAGTCAAGACTCTGATGGAAACAGATTTCAGAATCCCACATCAATGAGTTCATTCACCAAATGAAAAACAGAGGCCTCCAGGAAGTGACTTCGACACAGTGGCTTACAAACCTGTCTGGGCATTCACATCACTTGGGAAAAATTCTTAATATACACAGACTCCTCGGGCCCTAATGCCAACCTACTGAAACTGGGAATGGAGCTTGGAAACTTGCATGTGAACAAATCTTCACAGGTGGTCACTATGCTGCTCATCTACAGACAGGTCTGCAGGAGCCCTGATGCTTGAGTCTGTCTCCTTTCCTAAAAACAGGTAGAGGGCAGGTGGTTCGTGGAGGGAGCAGAAACCAAGACTGCCCCGTGGAGAAGGTCTCTCGTGGAAGAGATGCTGACATTCTACATCACACCCATTGCCCCAGGATGCTGACCCTGAATCAGAGCAGTACTGCAAGATGCCTGAACTGCCAAGTGACATTGCCCAGGTATCCTCCGGGGAGGCCTTTTGATTTTAAAACCCTGGCTTTCTGCTCTGTTTGACCCTGAAGCATTTACGCAGCTGTCTACAGCACTAGGTGAGCAGCTTTTCCCCATGAGTCCCTGGTCCAGCTGCTGCTCACTATGACCAAGAAATGTGAGCCCAGGCTCAGGAAGACTCAGACACACCTGCCTCGTCAAGATTTTGGCTGACTTGTCCTCAGAAGAGATGGGGGGGGGTGACAGAAGGAAGCACTATGCTTTCTGGGGTCACCTCTACACAAATCTGACCCCCACCACAGCAACCAGTGAGGGGTGAGGTAGGGAGAGAGGAAGGCAAGACTAGGTTTACCCTTCCCCTGCCCTGGCTGGTGCAGGCCTATGATTAAAAAGAGCACCCATGGCCACTACACTGAGGCAAGGAAATGAAACATACCCCTCCAACTGGCCCCAGGATGCACACCATGTACATATCAAGGACTTCCAACCCATTCATAAACCCTGAATGATGACATAATATGGACAGAATCTTGTCTGAGAGTACTGAGGCCTCCCCAGCTAGGAAGTGAGCGGCCCCACCCACTGCAGAGGCTGGGAGCAGGTAAAACGGGTAACGTGTATGGGGCAGCAGTGGACTCGAATTTCTTTGTTCTTTGGCTACTACGATACTGGGAGAAACATTTTGCCTCTTTGCTCCCGAGGGTGAAATGAAAAAAAGAAATGAAATGTTTGTTTAAAAATGACTAGCTAACTACTGGTCAGAATTAGCATGCAGCTCAAAGTCTGTTGAGGATCACTTATCTTTCAAACAAAGAAAAGTCAGGCACAATTAGCGAATTAGGATGGTGTCTTGATTTTGTCTAGGATTTGATGCAAATAAGCCCCTAACAGTGGAAACATCTGTCTCTGAAGAAAAGTCGGACAGCTGGGGAGAGGAGACGGCCCCTGCCCGCTGCCCGCTGCATACCTGGATGGGCCTGGACGGCCTCCTGGGGGGGGTTCTGGGGAGCAGGCAAGCTGCTGGGGTTGCTGCTGGGCTCGGCCTTTACCCCCCGAGGTGCAGTGGATGACGATGGTTGAGAAGACAGTACAGCAGGATGGCTTGAGTGATGGATGGAATCTACAAAACCCATGAATGAAAGAAAATGTTTGATGTTCTACAGAGAACTGGAACCTGTACCAAGGGTACCCGGGCAGAGCCCTGCTTTCAGGGAAAGAGCCAAGCACAAGCACCGTGAGCAGGGCTCATTTCCTTACGCAAAGATGCTCCTTTAGTGACACAGCCACCTGAGAGGTGACATGGGGGGCTCGGGGCCCTGAAACCATGAAAATGGTGCCTCTGATAATACCAGGCAAGACGGGCAGCATCTGTGGGATGCTGCTCAGGAGACGCAGCTGACAAGGATCAGCTTTCCCACCTTAAAGGAGGCCAGGCCCTGAGCTCAGCAGGCACGGGGGGAGAGAAACCCGCCGTCATCTGCTCACTGTCCCCACGGAGGCTCGCCTCGGGCCTCACCGCACGCACGTGCTGGTGGAGCCCCCCGACGGCGCTAAGTTGTAGAGTTGGCTCATCAGACAGAGCAAAGATCCTAACTCACTGGGGCCTGTGCTTGGCACTGGGTCCCAGAGCCATGTTCAGCCAGATCCACCCCAAGGCGGATCTCTAAGGCCGGGTTATGTAGGTCTCCTCTCAGCCTAGATAAAGCTGGAACTGCTCAGAAAGCGGCGGCTACCTGGGTGGCCGGGCGAAGCCTTCTTCTCTTCATAGTGTGCGTGCTCGCTGGCTATGTCCATGTCGGAGCAGGCTTCCAGCTCATCGGACAGGAGGGAGGAGCTGCTGGGGGAGCGGTGGGAGCCGGACAAGGCGTGGCTGCTGGACGGCGTGAGGCACTGGGCGTCCAGCCTGGCCTGCAGGACTTCAATCACTCTCTCCTTCTCCTGCAGCTCCTTACTGAGCCTAGTGGGGTAAGGGGGGACAGCAGGCGAAGTCAAGGTCACCGGCCAGCTAGTCCTGACTGGCGCACATGGGAAAAGCCACAGGAGTCAAGGGGACCATTCCTGCAGAGTAATGGGAATAACCCATCTC